CTCTCTCTCTCTCTCTCTCTCTCTCTCTCTCTCTCTCTCTCTCAGGATTCCACGAAAATCTCGGTGGGGGGAACCACAGCGAAGTGAGTGCCATCCCTCGCGTCCAGCACACACAGACCTGTGATTTTCTGCACCCCGGCAGCCAGGGCGACCAGGTGCACGGGAAACACCAAGCTCGCTTGCGGCTGCACGTCACTCAGCGTCTGGGCCCAGGTCCCGTTCACCACAACTGCCTTGACGGCCGCATCGTCTCGTGAAAACGCCACTCTCAACGGTCCTGTTCTGTGGTCGGTGTTGTTTTTAATCCGACACTTGACCTGAAAAGGGTGCTCCAACACAATTCGCGAAGGCAATTCCTCCAGGCGAACCTCAATTTCGACCTTGGCCCCAGTGTTGGACATGATCGGTTGCGTTTGCAGATGACCAGGCTCCCCGAGGGTAGTTTTCCACATCATCTCCAGTTTGCCCAAAGTGTTTGCACTCTCAGCACTGCTGCCAGCGGCTGATTGAACGCGGCGCAAGTGGTACAAGTAGTTCCTCTCTCCTCCGTTCGATTCAACGACGTGGATCCTACGATTGAACAGGCCTTTCAAGATGTCATCTTCCTCTTCTTCCCCGTCGTCGTCAGGTTCTCCATCTCCTTCGTCGGCTTCTTGAAGAGAAGATGTGTACGAGGTCGAGGGTTCGAACTTCACGTAGTCAAGGAAAAGTGGCGCCTTCGTCGCATTCTGAATCCCCACTTCCAAGAACGTACTCTCCCTGACGGGCCGTATTTTCGTCCGTACAACGACCGGATTAGAGGCGACGAACTTGTATTTCTGGTGCAAGAGCTTTCGCTCCACATCCATATCTTGTCGGGCCACCCTTCTCTCCCCTTCGGAGTCGGAGTACATGGCACTGCAGACCAAGCAGTGTGTGCCCAGCTCCTTGATGATATGCTCGATGATGAAGTCATTGCGCGCACCGGCTTTGATGACAGTCAAAGGTGCGCGAGTGTTGTCAGCCAAGCTGGTTCTTTGCCTCTCTGTCTGCAGCTCCACCTTGATACCCACATACTCAACGTCATGATCGGACACGTTGCACAGGCTTATGAAGCTGCACAGAGTCTCTCCCAGGTAGATGGAGCCAAACTCCTGTGGAAGGACGAGCATTCCGGTCAGGCCGCATGCATCCAGGGGCTGATTGATCTCGCAACGGCCGGAGAAGGTTTGCTCCATCTCCGTCAAGGAGCGCATCCGCTCTGCCACGTCATCGTCCTCCCCATAACGGAGGTCGCCGGCGGCGCAGCGGAGCGGCAGATCTACCTGCAGCGATGGCCGACATAGCCTCATCACCCGGAAGGCCAAAGAGTGGGAGCTACCATCCCTCATCCTCCCCTTGCCGGTGATATAGATTGGTTGGAATTCCACGATTACTTGCCCTCTGCGCCCTTGGCGCGCCAAATTCTAAAAGTATCCACAACTATCTGCACTTCACGCACGGCTTTTCTTGGTGCCAAATGCTCTCCTTTGCGTGCCAAACACTCCCCTTTGCCCCGTTTGGCGCCCACCGAATTCTCCGTCAAAGCTCCCCTTTGCCCCGTTGGCGCCCAAATGCACGTCACCAGACGGCCTTTCCCTCGCTGGAATCAAATCCGTGTCCCCTCTTCTTTGCGCACTGTCGGCGTCAAATTCGCGTCACTCTCTTCCTTTGCCCCGTTTGGCACCCACCTCTCCTTGCTGCTGCACTTTTAGTGCCAAATCACCTCTCCTCCTCGCTGCTGCACCTTTTCCACCAAATTACCCTCTCCTAATTGCGGGTGCACCTTTGGCGCCAACAAATACCTGTTCTCAGCACCTTTGGCGGGGGAATTCTCATGGAATTCTCGATCACCTGCCTTTTGCAATGTTGATGCTAGATCTTCTTCGTTCACCTGTGTGCCACAGCACAGCACCTTCGGAGTCAGAGTCTTTGGCGCCAAATTCTCGATCACCTGCCATTTGCAGTCGCTGCCTTTTGGCGCTAAATTTGGAAACGGGTTTCGCGACTTCATCAATTACCGCTTTCGGGTTTCAATTTCCGAAATCCAAATGTAGTGAGATCCATATAGCGAACACTTCAAACAAAATGCGTCAAACCCCTTGCACCCAAAAGTCGTTTCTTTCGTGCAGTGGGTGACGGCTAATCTGCTTTGCTATGGTTTCCCTGGACACAGCGTAATGAATGACATTGGATTTCATTCATGAGTGAGGGGGCATACTCAAACTAGGACTTCTTTTGCGACTGAGCACCGAACGTGATTGCAGTCAGATGCATTGAGGTCTGGTCGCATTTGCAGTCAGATCCATTTAAGAAAGCGCTACCATGAGTGTGCCTTGAATCAGGTGGGGCAAGTTGTGCTGCCAAGATTTCTGTTTTCTCTCCCGAGTTAACAGCAATGAAATCTGTTTTGTACTCTTCCAAACGGCGTTTGTTTTGCTGTGTTTCGACTGAGTTTCGTATACTTCTATAAATGCTTTCAAAGCCCACCGAGTCCACCTTGCACTCTCTCTCTTGTCACGCCTGTACATACAAGCACTTGCAGTACTCTCCTCTCTCTCTCTCTCTCTCTCTCTCTCTCTCTCTCTCTCTCTCTCTCTCTCTCTCTCTCTCTCTCTCTCTCTNTCTCTCTCTCTCTCTCTCTCTCTCTCTCTCTCTCTCTCTCTGTGTGTGTGTGTGTGTGTGTGTGTGTGTGTGTGTGTGTGTGTGTGTGTGTCTCTCTTTCAAGGAATGGAAAAAGTTGGGCTTTTCAAAAATTTACAATTTCCTGTCAGTTTTTTTCCAAGAGGTTGCGGCAGTTTTGGCAGACTCTGCTGGCCCTGTTCAGACCTAAACTTTTGTGGCTGGGCGTGCAGGCATATCCGTCGACAGAACCTAATCAAACACGTTCTTTTTTTTCCCAAAAAAAAAGTATCAAACCAATTAAAAGCTGGGGAACGGGCCCAGTGTGCCTACAACATTTACTGCGGCTCGTGAGATGTGAAACGGTTTTCACCTTTACGGTAGCAGCTGCAGATCCCAGGGCTCGATCCCCAGACCTCACTCCTAACCGTGTACAGTATCAGTTTCCCTGTGTGTGTTTGAACCCGTGACCTGTGTCTTGCGAGTCGTCTGTCTGTTGTTGTAGGATAGTGAGGTTGTCGGGTTTTGAACCGTAGGTCTGTCAGGTAGGGGTCGTCGCTGTGTAGAGGTCGTAGCTGTCGCAACCCTGAAAGGTCGAGGTCGTAGCTGCTACAGTCCTGAAAGGTCAAGGTCGTAGCTGCTACAGTCCCGAAAGGCCAAGTTGACAGAGGCCTTTCGAGAGTTGCTCAGGTTAGGCTAGAGGCAAGTGGGCAAGTGGGCAGTCCAACTTTGTCAAGTCAGCGGTACCCAGTCCAAGTCGCACTTTGTCCAGTCAGCAGGTACCATGTGGGACTGTGTGCACTCTGGGCCCGGTGGAAAAGACCAGACCAGCGACCAACAGAAGTATAAATCAAGAGGCAGCGTCCAGTGATTCATTCATTCTGCTGTGAGCCACGCGGAAGTGCTACCCGAGCGTCTTGTGCAAGGTGGTCTGCAGATGCCCGAAGTAGAAGGCGGTTGCAAGGGAGGAGCGGCCATCGCCGCTAGCAGCTAGGAGGTAGAAGGCAGCCATAGCTGCCATAGGTTAGAGTTAGTCTGTATGTGTGTGTATGTGTGTGTATGTGTGTGTATGTGTGTGTATGTGTGTGTAGGTGTGTTTATGTGTGTGTATGCGTCTGAAGTGTGTTGAGTGCGTGTGTGGAACATCCAGGGAGATCCAGAGTGGTGTGCATGGGAACACGCCATAGTTGCCAAGAGTACAACGTTGTGAGGGGTTGTGAGGGCGCACAGGCGCCATAGCTATTTGAAGCGAGTTGAATCTGAACTGTGTTTTCGGCCACGATATCTCTGAGCTTTGTGTGGGGGCACGTCGCCAGTGTGATTCCATCTGTTTTCATGCATGCTAAGCAAGAAAGAAGACGAGTCTGATTGCAGATGAGCAGGGCTCATCACCCAAGCTTATCCCTGGCCACAGGAATCCAGCCTTGGGACTGGGCCTGTTTGTCCAAAGAAAAAAAGAAGAAAAAAAAAGAAAAGAAACAACAAGTTACCTAAAAAAAGAAAGAAAAACTGAGCCTGAGGGCATAGGTGCTGGTTCAGTAGGTTTCTCATGCCTGAGCGGCACCACGTAGGTGCTGGGTTCTATTCCCATTGCTGTCACTTTTTTCCGTGGCCTGAGGAGCATTTGGTGGCCGCGGCCAGTCTACACTGGTAATCACTAGGGCAAGTTGTGCCACCCTGTCACCCGTAGCAACGGGGGAGAGCATAGGGCCAAGAGGAAGTGGCTGCTCGGGTCCTGATGCGGCTGGTCAGGCAGGACACACCCAATACCCATCCAAACAAAAGAGCTCAGAAGTTAAGTTCACCGTCAGTATCATCATAGCTGACATCCATGGCTTGATTACGATGCCTATCAGGGTCGAGACCCTCAATTTCATGATACTCCCAGGGGCTTAAATGCTCTCTACGTACCTGTCACAACATAAGCTCAATTAGGAAGTACCTGCCACAACATAGGTTCAATAAGGAAGCTCAATAAGTCGTGGCAGCAATTCTATCATGACATATAATCTACAAAGACTTGCATAATAATCTGGAATTACTTGGGGCCGGTCTCCTGCAGATATATCTCTCGACTGCGGCGCTTTACAAAAAAAAAAAAAAAAAAAAAAAAAACTTACCAAATTAAGGGGCTCGTTAGACACTCCTCGGGCCCGTAAAGTCCCCGAGGAATTGTTCGTTCCACCTATCCTCGGGGATGCAGTCCGAAAAAAACAAAGTTAAAGCACTCCGAAGGAAATTCCTTGGGCTCTGAGGATTCCCCCAGCTGAGCCATTTCTTCCTTCAAATTTGCCCAAGGGGCGAGGTCCCTTGGGCAAAAGGAATCCGCGTTTCACGGAGAGGAGCGGGCACATGGGTAGAGAGACGTTACGACCGCGAATCTGGATCGTGGTGGCACCCTATTGGCTGAAGGCCTCCACATTTGATTTTTTATTTTTATTTTTTTTTCTGACATCGTTTGAAGGAAATGTCCTCGGGCGATGTCCCCCAGGACAGGTGGAACGAAGGGCCCAAATTTCCTTTTGAACCAAAAGGATTTTTTCCTTTTGCCCGAGGATTTCAATAGGAGTGTCTAACGAGCCCCTAAGAATTCAATTTTTTATTTTTTATTTTTCATTATTTTTTTTAAGTTACTTTTGGCCCGGCTGGGCAAGTGGGTCCGGGGCCCATGTGTCCCACCTACACGGTAGACCTAACCGTGTTCACCCCAATAGAACGCCCGGTCATTATAGCTGTATCTGGACTGAAAATTGCACCCAATACAGCTATAATGACCGGGCGTTCTATTCGGGTGAAGACGGAGACGGTAGCTCCGCGTTGAGCTTTCAACCACGAGCGACGTTGTCTGACTTCTACGCTCGGCTCGGAGAGAAAGCTGTGCCTGTGCATCCATCGGCGGCTTTTTAGGAATCCATTTTTTTCAATTGTATTTCCCTCTACGAAAATTAAGATAATAAAATGGGCAAATGTCGATTAGAACGCCCCCTACCCTCGGACTCCCCTTTTTCCGTACAACTAGCTCACCCACTCCACGTGGGTTAGCTAGTTCCATGCAGGTTGATCCATCATGACCTCCTGGTGGGAGGGCACTCTGACAGAAGTGGGTGGACACTTTGATGGACGTGGGAGGACACTCGTTTCCTTTATTTGAGCGGTGAATGCACAGAGCCAGCAATACTGTCCACATTCGTTTCATGGGATAGTGAGGTCGCTTACCGCAGTACAGGGAGAGTTGCATATACTAAGGAGGATATTTGTTTTGTCCATTTTACTTTTTCTCCGTTGTTCTTTTGGAAAATATGAAAAAAAAGCTCTCAGCAGCATTTGTTTCTCTTCTTTTGCATTTTGTTTTTCAATTTTTACTGTAATTATCAATAACTGTGTCACACCGTAGAACTAGCTCTGTTCTACGCTGTAAGTGGGGGACATAGCCCCAGGTCCGTCTGACATGGCCCTTGGCCCGTCTAGAAGCCAGCCTGCATCTAGTCTAAGTGGTGGGACCTTTCTCTCCATTCCTTTCAGTTTTCGTTTTTTTTTTCCTTCTTCGTTCTATTTTGTTTTTTTTTCCTCTTTGCCAGGCTCGGTTTCACATAATGTCGGAGTCAAGTGTCTATGTGCTGGTACCACCAAAAAAAAAAAAAAAAAAAAAAAAAATTTTTTTT